AAAGCTGTGCCTGAGCCGGGAGAACCACCCATCCTTCCATGCCTGCCGGGGGAATCCTGTCCTTCGGTCCCACAGGGAAAGGGAGGTGCCGGCCAGGTGCAGAGGTGTTGCAGCAGAGGTGTTGCAGCACGTTCCTGGGGGCATTGCGTCTGAGCGTTACGTGGCAGAGATACACAAGGGGGGTGGGGGAGAGGGGTGGAAAATCCCTTGGGAACAAAGGGGCTTCAGTGTGCAGTTTCTGCAGAAACCTGTACCTTCCCAAGGGAGTGAGCGCAGGTAACTGGCAGGAGGGGTTACCTTGCTGGGAGAGCCAGATGCTTGCAACATCCCAGCGCCAGGGTGGAAAGTGGGGCAGGGCTTGTTTGCCAAGCTCCTGGGACTCGTAAAGGGGTAGAATTTTGTCTCAGCCAAAAATGCAGAGACGTTACCGAGCCCCTTCCCCCATCTGGAAGGTCAGGGGCTTTGGCCTCCTTTTGCAGCTGGGCAAAAGCACAGCCCAGGGAGGTGAAGGGCCTTAACCCTGCTCCTCTGGTGAGGCAGGAGCAGAGTTGGGAAGAGAATGCAATCTCAAAAGAAAATGAAATCCCACCATTATCTACTTCCAAACACAAGATTTAGGGCATAGGAGTCCTGTGCCCATATGTTTCCTGGGCCAAGGTGTGTAGAGCCTCTTGGTCACTGCTGCCCGTTGGTGGAGGACAGGGCGCCTGAGCAGACCCGTGCCTTGTCAAGCCAAAAGGCAAAGCTGGCACAGGCTTTGAGAAGAGGGCCAGCTACCTGGCCTTTGCCCCATGAGCGACCTGCCAGCACCCAGCCTGCTCCCAGGACAGCATCTCTGCTTCATGGGAGGGCAAGACCCTCGTGCCACCTCAGAGGCAGGCACAGGGGACAGAGCAACCATCGGCACCTGCTAATGCTTAAAGCAGCTGTCGCGTGGTTAAGGCTCCAGAGGATTTAGGAGGGAGCAGGGATGCTGGGACGAAGTGGATGGCCCTCCTTGGTCATCTCTTCACAAGGCATGCGAGGTTTGCTGCACATCTTGTTCTGGGCATAGCACTGGGAGCTAACAGAAATGAGGGGCTGTGGAGATGAGAGGTGTCCGAGAGTCCTTTCTTTGAGCAGACCTCACCCTTCTGGCAGGGACCCAAGAGGGCACTGGTGGTGGGGACACCAGTGGCACCTGGCCGCACGCAGGAGGAAAAAAAGCCATTCCTGCCAGGGAGGGACGCAAATGCTATAAATAGTTGGTTTAACACACCGTGGCCAGGCTTTGGAAAGCCCCATCCCATGCACATTCCTTGTTGCTGGCGCTGAGACGGAAAAAAAGCCATTCCTGCCAGGGAGGGACGCAAATGCTATAAATAGTTGGTTTAACACACCGTGGCCAGGCTTTGGAAAGCCCCATCCCATGCACATTCCTTGTTGCTGGCGCTGAGACGGCAGCTGTTGAAAAAGGCAAAACCCAGCAGCTGCTGCCTCGTGCCCCCAGCCCACCTGCTCCCCTCGTGGGGTGGCCAAGCCTTTGGCATCCCTTGGTCCCGAGGATCGCCAAGGAGGTGCCACCTCTGCGCTGGTGTTGGCGCTGGTCCCCGGGCTGGCAGTGGCTGTAGGATGCTCCCACTGCCTGGCTGCTGGTGCTGGAGGGGTGAGGAGGATGGGGAGGGGGGCTTTCCTTCCTGACCGCCCTTGCAGCAGTGGGGACGCTGCTGAGCCTGACTGGGAGCTGCGAGGCCATGCCGGTGGCAGCTGCTGCCCATACACATGTCCTCGGCTGCAACTTTCCCCAGCCCCGGCTCGGGATGCTGGGCTGGGCCACGGCCCCCCGCCTGCCGGCTCCGCTCGCACAAAGGCCCCTTGTGCCCACGGGACTGACATTCCTGCGGCCTCGGGCCCGGGGCAGAGCAAAGCGCAGCCGAGGGGGAAACAGGGCCAGAGCCCGGCTGCTGGGGCAGCTGGTGGGGCCAGGTGGGGACGGGCTGCGATCCTGCCCCACCTCCATCCCATGCCTGGAGGATGGACATGAGCAGCTGGTGGGAGAGGGGGGACCCCCAGGATGGGCAGGCGGCTCTGGGCTGCAGGAGGGCAGGGGCACAGGGCACAGGGTGCGGGAGGAGATGCCACGATGCTGGGGATCGGGAGCAGTGGTGCTGAGCACCCATGGGTGCTGCCTGCCCCAACCGTGTGCACTCCCACCCAACACAGACCTGTGGGATGGGTGGGGGAAAGGTGGGGTGGGCTGGTTCTCGCTGGCCAGTGCCCACCACACGGCAGACCCAAAGCTAAGAGCAGTTTTGGCTGCATCTGGCCCCCC